TACCATGTGACCATGTAAGTAAGAATTTTAGCTTCTTAATTTTGTACTCGAAGGTTCTCTGTTCCTTTTCCCTCATTTGCTTCATATAGTTAACACTATTAATGGATATTACCCTCTGGAAATGACTAGATGGATAGGGCTTCAATTCTTGGGGATGCAATTGAGTACCTGAAGGAACTACTGCAAAGAATCAATGACCTTCATAATGAATTGGAATTTGCTCCTTCCGGTACAGCGTTGACGCCGAGCACAAGCTTTCACCCCCTGACTCCAACCCCACCGACCCTCTCAAGTCGTATAAAGGAAGAGCTTTGTCCTAGCTCATTTCCCAGCCCTAATAGCCAACCTGCAAGGGTAAATTCCTTATCTTGGGACAACTTTCCTTTGTCCATCACATGATTATTGCATTTGCAATTATATTATTTGCTGCAACCCTGTCATCTGAAGAAATTATTGATGATACTACCGTGTTAATAGGTCGAAGTTAGGGTACGAGAAGGTCGGGCAGTAAACATACACATGTTCTGTGGTCGTCGACCTGGTCTCTTGCTCTCCTCAGTAAGGGCATTAGATAATCTTGGATTAGACATCCAGCAAGCCGTGATTAGCTGCTTCAATGGTTTTGCCATGGACATTTTCCGAGCAGAGGTGAAATCCTGTTTAAAATCAAAACTTTCATTCTTTTGTTTACCTTTTTTCCATGTTAACTTCAAAATGTAACATTTTAAAACTAATAATTCTAAATCCAAGAGTAAATTTTTTTTCTTAAAAAAAAAGTTTTTTAAGTATAAATTCAAACACAGCTTTCTTCTTACCTTTCAGTTTACTTGATGACGTGACCCATCCTTATGACTTGTGACTGATAAAGAGTACATATTTTCAGCAATGCAGCGAAGGCCAGGATGTCCATCCTGAGCAGATAAAAGCAATACTATTGCATTCAGTAGGTTTCAATGGTGCGACATAGATTTCTGTGAAACAAGTAAAGAATCCTTGTCCTTAAACAAACTGAACCATTTCATATCATATTTTACCTCGCTTCTTTCTCAGGTAGCTGCTGAGTTATCAGTTGTTCAAGAAAAATGACTCGCTCGAAAGCAACATCTTCTGAAATAATAGATGCAACCGACCTGCTTTTGAGATGATTATCAGAAGTTGACGCTGCGGTTTGTGTAGCCATTCCATGTTTCAAAATGGGAATACTAGCAAAGGGAATTGTGTTAGCAATTTTAAGGACATAGCTTGATAATCGACTTTATGAATCCTCCATTTTTTCAAAAAGACAAGATAATTTCACCTGTGTTTTGATCCATTTTGTTCAAACACACCCAACTTCATCCCTACCCCCGATTCAGTTCTTGGAGGCAGATGGGTACTTTCTTCCATAGAAACTAAACTAAAATAAAGAAGAATGAACCGAACCATTCTTGTATCTGTGCAGAACTAGGCTATTATATTTACACCGAGCAGATGCAGATATGCTTCACATGATCATAATGTTGTTCAGTTAACTAAAAGTTTAAATCTTATAAATGTTTTGTAAATTTACATAGAACAATTTCTCAAGCTTTTTAACTGTTCAGCTCATTTCATGTTCCCAACGAAATCCACCATTAAACATTGACCTCAAGCTTCGACAATATCAAATACCTAAAACAAGCCAAAAGCTATGTTTCCTGCGTTTGGAAACACTTCAATGAACACCCATGATGCAGAAGCTTATCCTTTAAATCAGAGTAATATCTCATAGGCCCATGCTATTTCATAATGACATTACTAATCAGTATAACCTAGAAACAGGAAAAGAATCATATAATATTGTCATTACTTGGTACCCTTACTAACTAGAGATCTGCCCACCGGGAGATGTGATTATGCGTCGGTAATATGTATTGCACTTTTATCTTCCTTTTTCGGTGCCTTTTTCCGCTTTCTCTCACTTTGAGGTTCTTTTGTCTTTAGTTCATGGCAGAAGGACGACAATGAGGCAGCCAGATGCTCGTTTCTATGAGCTGAGACCAAAATGATGCAGAAACAAAGAGGTTCAAGCGATTAATACTACTTCCGATTAAAGTCTGCTGCATATTGACTAAATATAACTAGACAGAATTACAACAAAACAAATGAAAAATTGGAGTGCAAGCTGAGATTAACAGATATCAGGACAGGCTAACCTGAGAGTATGACGTCTTCCGTATTCACAGATTTCCGACCACCATGATGAGCAAATAACTCAAGGTCCTTTGCCAACTGTTCTGTTACACAAGTTACCATTCCGTTATCTATCTCATTGCAAAACTTTGAGAATCATAAAAACAAATCAAACACAATTATGACCCTCCTTTCCTTGCTGCCTGAGATACAACCATAGTGGCACAGTAAACGAAACTTTGTTTTCCTTGCATATATTATACAAATTGGCAGTTCATATGGTAGCCTTGCGACTACAAACATAAGCATGACCCTACACCATGGTATGAGCTCAAATTATGGTCAAAACCTAGTAAACCTACCAAATCATTCAAGTGTATGATGGAAGAATACCTTAACTTCATGGATATGATATAAGTATATGTTTTCTTCTTTAACACAATGAATGAAGTATTCATCAGTAACAGAAAACTGACTTGAAGCTAATGCATAAATATAAATAAAATAATAACTATGTTTTCTTTACGAGATTGAAATATAAACAAAGAAATATAAGACAACGAGAACTCTCCTTCCCATGGTATAACTCAACACTTTTGCTTCATAAGAATCTTACACCTCTTCTTCCAGAGGCATAGGCTTCCACAAGAGTATGACAAGGTTAAGGCTTTACACCTAACACAAATGCTGTAAGGTGTAAATCTCAAGGTAGAATGAGGGACTTTGTCCGTCATACTGAAAGAAGCAATTGATATGAACAATAAGAACATCTGATTAGAATCAAAAAGTATCGTGCGAAGTCATTCACTAAGTTATCACAATGGCGCTCCATCATTTGTACTTCCTGCAACACTTTCCTGTCTTAAACTTGACACAACTTGTGTAGTTTCCTTCCAACTAGATCACACGATTTAACTACATAGCACAGAAAGGCATCCCAACAAACCAAATGCATGCTAAATAGAAAGGAAATTTCTAACCGAAACTGCATATAAACTACCTAAAAATGATGGAAACACAGCGAGAAGAGAATGGATACTAAAACAATTAGCAATTAGGTCATCAACATAATGCAGACTGTAATTCTAACGAAAGGTGGAATTAGCAATTTCGGTGATCTATACATTATCCTGAAATCGGTTGTAGTCATGTAGAAGCCAAGAGCTCATGATAACATCGCAGACTCAAAACAGGAAAGGAAAGAACAGTAAACTAACTTGTATATTTGAAAGCTAACTCAGCGACACAAGTCATCACCGGTACAGAGATTTCCATCCCGCTTCTCTTCGCTGCAAAACAAACCAAACAGTTCACATTTAGAGTAAGCGAAACAGAAATACGAAAACTTCGTCTTGGCATACAGTAATCAGAGGATACTACTTCTTCTTTCTCCTGTTGATTCTGATTGTATTACACATACAACCAAACAAGCTTGCAAATGAAGAGAGTAAGATGAAGATAATTAACCTTCAGCTTCAGCGATAGAAATGGCAGACAGTCGGAATCGGTCCCTCAAGAGTTCGGCCGTGGAGTCGTCTTCTTCCATCCCAGTCTCCATTGCAGAGCCTTCTGGACACAGAGTTTTACTCCATTTCGCTGCACCTGTTCCCACCCGCCTTTATTCCCTCCAGAAATGGCACTCGCGACGGGGATTCCCCTAAAACGAACCGTTTTCATCTTTTCCCTTTCTTTCCTCTTTTTTTTTTTTTTTTTTTTTTTTTTCCAAAAATCAAATTTTAATTCTATACTAATAATGTATAAATGTTTATCTTAAATTTTCAATTATATATATATGAAAAGGAAAATTTTTATTTTATGTATTTTATTGGTGGAGACCCGTCTATCGAGAGTAAGAAAATGGAGAATATTTTTCTATCAAATAAATAGAATTAGAATTAGATTTACTGTTCTCGTCCCCACCCCACTTAGTATAAATATATCTTCAACATATTAAAAAATAAATTAATTAATTAATTTTGAGATCTAATGGTAATATTTAAAATGAATTTTAAGAATTATGATCGATGGTATATGTTTGCTTACGAAATATATTAATTTATTATAATTTTTTTACCATTCTTTTAATAAAAGATTATATTGAAAAATGAAAATTTTAAAATAATTTTTTGAAAAAAGAATAATAAAGACTGAAAACTGCGGCCACCATCGTTCTAACTGATGTCTGTAGCCTAATCTTTACTCACTATGATTCCTGCACAAATCCTGCTTTCTTTATGACCAGAATGGTGTTAAGATGGTTGATAAAGAATCTAACACAAAAGAATATTTTGATACCAAATGATATGGAATCACTACAAGAGAGGTGAGATTCGGATTATCTTGTTGACCAAACATCTCAAAACAAGAACACTTATTTGAGATTTGAATTACTCCACAAGCAAGATCAAAATCAAGATCGATCATGTTCTAGCTTAAATGATTCTATACATGCAATCTAAACTACGTAGAATTGCAAAGAAACTTAGTAATTAATTAAAGGAAAAGGTAAAAACACTAAGCTGATGGTAAGAAATCATTCAAGGAATGTAAAAATTCGGGTTATCAAATATCTCAAAGCAATAACACACAAAGAAACTTAGCCCTTGGCTAAATGAGAGCACAAATGATTCTAAACACAAGCGAGGTCGATCATGCCAAGTTTGAAGGATTTTAAACATACAATCTAAACTACATAGAATTGCAAAGAAACTTAGCCTTTAGTTAAATGAGAGTCCAAATACTCCTTTTACTACATTTTCTATGTCTCCTTTACAAGGACTACATGATTTTATTAGCGACTATGCATACTTTATGACCATAATTAGCACTATGTAAATGTAACCTTAAAGTAAATAAAAAGTCTAAATGCATTAATGAAAAACTATAACTCTAAAATATCATCCACCCAAAAATTTTGTAGTGAATAAATTTGTAACAAATAAATGAAGCTTGATTCTCGTTTAATGTGGCATGAATGGCAATATTTCGTGATAATTTGAACAACATTTTCTTCACATCTTCCTTAAAGTTTATAGTGCAGGATTGAGTACAACGGGATGTATCTAAGATGTGAAAGGAGGCAGCCGTTACCGTGCAGTTTCCTCCGAGCTTGAAACTGATTCGACCCCGGCTCTTTTGACTGTAAAATACAAATACAAAAACAAAAACATTTGACCAAAGAACTAAACAAGAGAGAAAAAAAAGATGAGAAAGAAAGGGTGATGGAAATTTACACAAGATAAGAACAATTATTAGGTGACTATTATTGCAAGACAAATGAACCCTCTATTCTTTTCTCCATGTTCAGCTGAGAGAGATTTAATGGAGAAGACATGTCCTTGAGACTGGAGGCTGGGGCTGGCTTGAATTCGTAAGGTCCTTTTGTTCCCCAAACCTGTCCCGTGCAGAAAATCAAACATCAAATTTACATGAGGTCGCCATATGAAACTGAAATACGAGTTCAACTTAAAAAGAGTTAAACCTGGTTTCCATCTTCGTCATAACCCCTTTCCCAGGTATGTACTTCATTGTTCTTTAGGATAGCAATTTCTGAAGTACAGTAGGCTGCTCCATTCTGTCACAAAAAGAAGGCCAATGGTAAGAGAAGGAAGTAATACTTCGCACGGGAACGCTCAAACCTACCTCTTTGGACTTTCTCTTTCAAGCTTTCCCTCATGGTTTTAAAACGTGTCTACTAGGGAGAAGCTTCCACACCCTTATAAGGAATGTTTCATTTCCCTCTCCAATCGATGTGGGATTTCACAATCTACCTCTCTTGGGAACCTAGCATCCTCATTGGGCAGTGTGGATGCTCGTTGACACACTGCCCGGTGTCTGGCTCTGATACCATTTGCAACGGCCCAAACCCTCCGCTAGCAGATATTGTCTTTTTTGGGCTTTCTCTCAAGGTTTTAGAATGCGTCTACTAAAGAGAGGTTTCCACACCCATTATAAGGAACGTTTTGTTCCCCTCTCCAACCGATGTGGGATCTCACAATTGCAGTTGGGATGACTAACTTCTTAGTCTTACTCTTGACATTCTCACAGATAAGAAAACCCAAACAAATCTTACTCTTGGCATTCTCACAGATAAGGAAACCCAAACTATGTGGAATGAGAATGGAACATAGATATCCAGATGCTCTTACCCATGAATTTGGAAAACCACCAGGTGGAGTTGAACCTTCGTAGAGGCAACGTTTCCCACGATCACAACACTTGAGATGTAGCGTAGTTAAATGCTCCGCAATGTCCTGTTCATAAAAATCTAGACTCATTTTAAGAATGATAAGATACCTGTCCTGCGGAGCACCTTATGAACAAGAATGAATTTTGTTTTGATCTTACAGTAAAAATAATAATACCAATTCTATAAACTCCACAAAACTATAAATCAAGCTTTATGAAAGATTTATTTGCTTCTTCTAGTTTCAAAACCATGTTTATCTTCCCCTTTGGCCACGGTAACTTATATTGGCCTGCTCATTCTATGCATTAATGGGGTATCGTTAGAACTTATCATGGGAAAAGGAACTTGAACGGGTTCCAGAATTCATTAAAAAATAGATCACTAATTCAAAATCCAAATCAAGTAATTACGGTTAACATTAAACTCATATATCCATATCTACAAATCTCTGGCCTGATTACCCAGAGCTGCAGTTCCAATAGTTCCAACGTGATACCATACAGACACTATCACCAAACTTTGTTATCTTCGATGGATAGTTTGGTATTTCCATCCCACACCCATGCCCATGTTCACATTTTTTATTCTCTCAAGTCACCCATGCCCATGTTCACATTTTTTATTCTCTCAAGTCATTATTGTGAAGCTACGTTAAACTCACTCAAATTCCCACTTATTCTTGATTTAGTTCTACATCCGCTCAAGCCTACCGCTAGCAGATATAGTCCTCTTTGGAGAGGTTTCCACACCCTTATAAAAAATGTTTTGTTTCCCTCTCTAACCGATGTGGGATCATGCAAGTTCCCTGCTAAGAACCAAATTCAACATTTTACTTGATCCAACAATGAAAGTTTATGTATAAACATGGATTTGAGTCCCTGATCAAAACCAAACTTAATCAAATTGGGAACTAAAATTTGGATCGGTTAAGACCGGGTATGACTCTCAGGTTAATTGACTCTAAGAGAGCTCTGTGCCATATTTTCTCAAGTAACATAGAGATTAGGTTGATCAGGAATAGGACTAGGACAAAAGAAAATCTAAAACAACATATTCTGAAACAAACTTATATAGATTCAAGCAATAGAAAGTCTAATGAAAGCTGTATGCAGATGACTAACCCCAACTATTTCTTCGGGAAGAGGACGTTGGTCTTTTGTGCGATCACAAAAATTCTTGTACTCCTCCATTTCTCGAATGGCGTATGAGCTTAGCTGCAAAATGAACAAATATAAGAAACTTTTGTAGCTCACATCAGTTAGATTACATCGAAAAAGGGGAAAGATAACAATGTCATATTGCTTCAAACAGTATATGCAAACCATTTTGTTGGCTTCAAATGCGTCAACCAATCATACCAATACCTATAGAACTTCTAAAACTCATAGTACTCACCTCCACATCACATTTCATCTCCTTTGAACAAAGTTTCACCGTATAAAATCTCTGCAACCGTAGAATTAATGACCATTATTACAGGCATAATGAAGGAAGGTTCAACAATGGCTAAATATCTTGATCTACAGAAATCTCAAACTACAAACACTAAAGAAGATGGTGGGATAATTACGTTACCTGGCGAAATGGTTTTTGAGGAGTTCTGGAGAAAGCCTATCGAAAATACACAATAAAATGAGGATTGATATCTGGAAAAGGGAGCTGCTAAAGGGATTATTATCTTACAGACTCACTTGTTCGAAGTACAACACCGTAGAACCATCAACCATTTCTGCTGCAGGGCACGTAGTCATTCTATAACAAAATTCTTAATCCCATCATCAATCAAGACTATTCATCCACAAATTTATCTCAACCACAATTCAAAACAGAGGAGGCAATGAAACCTTAATAAAATAGAATTAAGAAGTGGTTCTTCATTCAGTAGAACACTAGAAATTGATCAATTCACATACTACGCACCTGATGTTGAAGTAATTTTCAGGATCCCTAGCCGCTTGCTCCTTCGAAAACTAACAAAAAACAAGAAAATCAGAAATTCAGAACAAAGAAATTGGGGATTCGCGAGGAGGCAGAGAACAGAAACCTTCTCGCCAGAAAGAGACTGAGAAACGGAGCGGGCATGATCCCATCGCGTCGTGGACTTAGTAAGACGTTTGAGGAAAAGGGCGCCTCCAACCAGTACCAAAGTCTTCATTATCAAACCCCCAGCTCTGTTCCATCCAACTGAGTTGTTATAATCATCGCTAGAATTCGAATCGGCACCCATAACTTCCAGAGCTCTCAAACGCCCACCATTCCGAATCTTGAACAGGTTTTCCAAATCATTCAAAGCACGAAATGGAGCTTGAAAGAGTAGAGTCGTGGATGCAGAGAGGAATTAGGAGGTGCGCGTTTAATCAGCGTCGTGAAATAGAGAACCCATGACTCCACTCTCCATTAACCAAAAATGTAGGCGTCGTCTCGTGAAACTTCGCCACATCACGGCGGGCTCTTCTGTTTATCATCTCTTCTTCAATCTAACAACAACGCCGTGGCCACAGAAAATCTGTGCACCCCAATCTATTTCCCAATTTCTTGATTCATAATATTTTTAATCTCAATTTTTTTTTTTTTTTTCAATTTTACCTCCTCCAAAATTTTCATCTGGAGCTTATTTTATTAGTTTTAAGTTTAAGTCAGTTTTATAAGTACTCAGTTATTTACAAGTACTTAGTTAAGTTATTTACCCAAGCACGGGTCAAAGTTAAGGTATCAACATCATTCCTATAAGCACATAATGTCTCTTTTTCGAATTCTTTATCAAGTGAAAATCCAAGATACTATAAGGAAGATCTTTATCGAGAATGCAAGATACTATAAGGAAGATCTCCAAGCAAGAGATGCTCTTAGCGTAAGTTGGTGGAAATGAACTCCGCCCTCTAGTTCAGATAGACCCCACGAGTTTTAAAGAACTAGACCTCTTTCCTTCAAACTTCACCGACAATAATTTCAGAATGAATAATTTTAAAATATACGAATAGCAAATTATTATTATTATTATTATCATTATATAACGACAAGAATAAAATTTCTAAAACTCAAATTTCAATACAAATATAGATATGTTCTGAATCAATCATCATTCAGTAAACTACGCTCATGTCATCATGAACAAAAAAAAAACAATATTGTTTTCGACTACTAAACTCTTACCATCTAGAGATAGCAAAGAAAAAGAAATTCGACCAACCAAATTCTTACCTTTTAACTTGATGGCTTGATGGCTTAATTTGCCATATATTTCATCATCGAACATGTTGCTTTTATTATTAATAAAAGCCAATGACAACAAAAATTAGTGCCCAAAAAACGTCCATGTCTTTGCAACGCTTATACACTTACACTCTTAAATCCAACTAGAAACCACCTAAACCAACACAAGTTCTTTCATCAATTACACGTTTATCCATATAATTTAGTTTCTATACTTAAACTATCAAAAATCTACATAAAAGCAAATCAAGGAACAAAAAAAGAAAAAAAATGAGTGAAGAGGAATAAACTTAAAAAAAAAAGAGAGATCCAAAACATTTTCTTTTCCTAAAAAATCTGCCAGTCTCATCCAGCCCCAAGTGTTCATAACAACACCGGGTAACAACATCTCATATCTAACCTTCAAAATAGTATACTCCAGAGACAAAAAAAAAAAAAAAAAAAAAAAAAATCAGGAATCAGCGTACAATCACAACTACTAATTTCTTTCAGGAACAAAAACACCTTCCACATTCTTCCGTCTTCTAATTATCTCTCCTAGCACCTGACCTCCGACGAGCGGGCGCCGCAGCAACACCCTCTTCCTTCTCTTCTCCTTCCTTTTCTCCGCTGCTACTTTGATCATTCGAACTCTCTGCAGCTGCTGCGCTCGTGCTCGTGCTCGCACTCTTCTCCTCTCTTTTTGCCTGCACAAACGAACGATAAACGTAAATCCTCAACTACGCCATTCGCACCCCGAATAATAAATTTGGCACCCACCGGTTGCTGCTTCTTTCCTCCGAAGATTATCCTCAAAAAGATTGTGAAGAAAACCACAATTACAGAGACTATGATCCCAATGGTGAGGTTTGGTTGCTTCTCTCCCTTTTCAATGACATCCTGCATGCATACATACATACATCAATCACTATATATATTGCCCACATCATAAATGCAGAGAACGACAGAGCACGCTAGCTCACTTACAAGTATTTTTGACTTGTATTGACTGAGGAATGGGATATCTGCGGCCTTGTATAGCAAATCAAAGACTTTCTTCTGCAGGATAGTCGCAAGAACCAGGTATGAGTCAGAATGCTATCTATCAATGGCAAAAGGTTATAACTTTGATGGTATCCATACCTGATATTTTGCGAGGGCATCTGGACCAGCAGCAGCTGCTTCCTCGGCCTTTTGTTTCTCTTCCTCAACTTCGAACTTCGGCTTCCACTTGGCGTCGCGGTATGAACTAGCAATTTTCTCGTCTTTGGCGATCAAAATGTTGTCAAACAAGATACCATCTTGCATCGTCCAGATCTCAATTCCAATTGCAGCCACGGCCTCGAAGTCAGGTTTTTCAATTTCGAAGTAGCTCGGGTTGGGAATCTGTCTAGGCTTCCAAATTCCCTTGTAGTTAGGATTGTCGATTTCTGGGGCATGCCACTTACCCTTGTATGCAGGATTCCTCTTCATTGGTTTCTTCCATTCACCACAACCAGGAGCTATCTCACATTTTGGGTTATCGATCCGCGGTGCCTCCCATTCACCATCCTCTTCATCATCCCAGTCTTCTGGCTTGGTGGCCTCTGGATCATCTATCTCTTCAGGCTCATCATCTAGCCATCCCTCAGGCTTTACAGCTTCCTCATCTACAATTTCCACTGGAGCATCCTCATCCCAATCATCTGGCTTCACTGCATTGGGATCGGGAATTTTAGCTCTCTCATCCCAATCCTCAGGCTTCTTGTCGTCTGGATCAGGAATTGTTTTGGCAGGAATCAGTGGAGGCTCAAAATCATCCTCCGAAAGGAAATTGGCCTTCTTCTTCTCACTCCCATCAACGAGAATGCGCACATCATTGCCAGATTCAAAAATGGCAGTGTAAACATGAGACAATTTGTCAGCTGGAACTGAAGGAGGATTCTTTAGATGATGCTCAACGTACTCCCCTGTTTTGGGATTCTTATGCTTGAAGATGAAGTGCACCTTGTTAGTGGCCCCGCATTTGTCAGGTCCAAACATGATTGAGTAAGGAGATTCATTATCGAACTCTTTAGCCTTCCATCCGGCATCTTGAGGCCGGAGGTATTTCAGATAAGCACCACCACATTCAAGCCCATTTTGTAGGCGAGTCTCAAACTGAAGAACCACAGTTCCATCCTTCAGACTCACTGGCTTATCTAGCTCTTTCACAATGGCGTATTTCCTTGCCTTCTCACTCACTAGAAGCCCGTAATCATCATGTCCTTCACTCTTAGAGTGCTTCCAGACACCTATAGAACACAAAAGAACGCCTATCAACCCGCGTCCAAAACTACATATCTATAATCCTTATTCCACCATCTTAATGCCATTAACAGCTCAATCTTGAATTAAAGCCAAAGAAAACTGTTCGCAATTAGCTAATGATGGACTCCACCCAACTATCTTACACAAAGTTTGATCATGCAAATGCCTCGAGAGAAACAATTATCCATTAAGATGAAATCATCGAAGACACAAAACTGCGCAAATGTTAATTCAACGTAGATAATTGCGAAGGTCTATATTTTGTTTTATTCATGTCATTGATCGAAATGATATCTCAAGATACGAATTATCAAATGAGAGAACAACTTAAAACGAAAAAAGGAAAGAATATCCAACAACCATCAAGAAATTGTACAAACAGATCAGGCAATATACACCTCCAGCTAGAAACAATTCAGTATATACAACGATTAAAGGATCAAGGAATATTTTCAAAAAATGATAAGAACGGAAAATAACCTTGATATTCACTCTTCTCGGACACGATCCAGCGCCCTTCAAAACTCTCGTCGAAGGACTCGTAGAAGATCTGAACTCCATAAAAACAGGAGAAAAGAAAATTAGACATTTCTACAGGAGTTTCAAATGTTGAAAAAAAACAATTAGATCTCAATTCGAGAGAAACACACAAGGAGATGAAAGCTCAAACAAGCTCAAACAGAATACCTCATCGTCCGATGCACGGAGCTGAACAAGTGAAAGGCAAAGAACAAGCAAAGCCGTGGCTAATCCTAAAGGAAACGCCTTCATCTTCTGGATCTCAAACCCTAAACAGTGTTCAGCCTTACAAGATTAGATCCCGATCAGAAGAACAGAACTATCTCAAAACATTTCAGAACAGTCCGGCCAATCTTCTCCGCCCTCGTTTCTAAATTTCCATATTAATAGATCTCGAAGCACTTTCAAGTGCGTTGTTTCCACCAATCAAATCTCGTTCCACGTGAAAGGAGCCAATGGATGTTCGCCACGTAGTCAACTTCCTCAATAATGAAGACTTGTCTGGTCTGGTCTCCTTCACTCGATTAAATGGGCTTTGTTTCTTTGGATTTGGAATGAAGGCCCATTTCATTTCTTATAAAGCTAGCCGGTAGCCGGTAGCCGGTAGGAAGAGTTTTACCTTCGAATTAGGTCAAAGAATTGGGTTGGATGGTATTAATTTGATCAGGGAGTCTATCAACTCATGTCGCATACATCATTGCACTTTCACTTGACATAACGGTTCATCTCATCGTGACCTCTTGAATTCTCAAAACTTATGTCGCTTCATCTTCGTAGGGGTAGAGAACCCATTGTTGTCTCGGGCTTGTCTCGGGCGTGCTACTGGAGGCTCTAAGAAGTCAGAATAGGAGAGCACTTATCTTAGGTTGGAACACATGCTGCAACATATATTATTTGTTTTGGCCCTGATACGTATCACACGTCTCTGTTTTGGCCCTGTTACGTATCACACGTCTCTGTTTTGGCCCTGTTACGTACGTCTTTGTTTTGGCCCTGATACGTATCACACGTCTTTGTTTTGGCCCTGATACGTATCACACGTCTTTGTTTTGGCCCTGATACGTATCACACGTCTCTGTTTTGGCCCTGATACGTATCACACGTCTCTGTTTTGGCCCTGATACGTATCACACGTCTTTGTTTTGGCCCTGATACGTATCACACGTCTTTGTTTTGGCCCTGATACGTATCACACGTCTCTGTTTTGGCCCTGTTACGTATCACACGTCTCTGTTTTGGCCCTGTTACGTATCACACGTCTCTGTTTTGGCCCTGATACGTATCACACGTCTCTGTTTTGGCCCTGATACGTATCACACGTCTCTGTTTTGGCCCTGATACGTATCACACGTCTCTGTNTGTTTTGGCCCTGTTACGTATCACACGTCTCTGTTTTGGCCCTGTTACGTATCACACGTCTCTGTTTTGGCCCTGTTACGTATCACACGTCTCTGTTTTGGCCCTGTTACGTATCACACGTCTCTGTTTTGGCCCTGTTACGTATCACACGTCTCTGTTTTGGCCCTGTTACGTATCACACGTCTCTGTTTTGGCCCTGTTACGTATCACACGTCTCTGTTTTGGCCCTGTTACGTATCACACGTCTCTGTTTTGGCCCTGTTACGTATCACACGTCTCTGTTTTGGCCCTGTTACGTATCACACGTCTCTGTTTTGGCCCTGTTACGTATCACACGTCTCTGTTTTGGCCCTGTTACGTATCACACGTCTCTGTTTTGGCCCCATTACCTATCACACGTCTCTGTTTTGGCCCCATTACCTATCACACGTCTCTGTTTTGGCCCCATTACCTATCACACGTCTCTGTTTTGGCCCCATTACCTATCACACCGTCTCATGATTTTAAAATGCAAGAATAGGTTTCCACACCTTGGTTTGTTCTCCTCTCCAATCGATGTGTGATCTCACAATCCACCCTCGTTCGGAGCCCAACATCCTTGTTGGCACACCGCCTCAACAGGTTAAGCCCACGGCTAGTTGATATGATCGTCTTTGAACTTACTTTTCTAGGCTTCCCCTCAAGGTTTTAAAACACTTCTTTCGAAAAAGTTCACTCCTTGTAAAGAATATTTAGTTTCCCCCTCCATTCGATATGAGATCTCACATTGGAGAAATTCGGCTGATCATGGACTTTAATGGCGAACGTGACTCGTTAGAATGAGAATTACAAAGCGACAACTCAACATAATTAGTCCAAACTCGAAACTCTGCATGAATCGGCTCATCATCGATATCATCTCCTTCAAGGCCATCCTCGCCTGCTAATGCAAGGGAAGGGAGGAGTTCAACGCCTTCATAGAAGCCCAGAACAGTGCTTTAGCAATGAACTCTGCTAGAAATGATCTTTCATTTGATCACTAAACCATGAAAGGTTGTTCAAATGAACTGTAAATCTGCTATGTGATAAATTAGTACACATTTCCTTTCATCTAAGGACATCATATATTTCTCAAGCATGTGGATCCGTCTGCTTCTTCTCGTGATCGAGTGTTCTAGGATTATAAACGTGCTGGAGCTGATCGCAAACTCGCCGAGATGCTGGTCGTTCTTGCGGGGCAGTTTTAGTGCATAGCAGAGCTATCTCAAGCACTTGGAACGCTGCGGATTCTTCGTGGGGCGAGAGAGGCTTCAAACACGGGTCGATCAACTCCTCCCTATCAGCAACATTTTGCATTTCAATGCGTGTCTCCACCCACCTTACCATGTCCATATCGACCCTGAAAGCTTCATCGGTAGGCATCTTGCCACTTACGAGCTCCATCAGTACGATTCCGAGGCTATAAACATCGCTCTTTTCGGTTGCTTGCAGAGAATAAGCATACTCTAGGAAATAGAAATGTATTTCATCAGCTAACAAATACCGCACGTATCGAAACCAACTGAATAAAAACACGTTACCTGGAGCTATGTAGCCGTAAGAACCAGCAAACCATGTTTTCGATTCTGTGTCGGTGTCGTAATTCTCGACGAGGTCTTTGGCTAGCCCGAAATCCCCCAAATGTGGCTCCATATTCGAATCGAGAAGGATGTTGCTTGATTTGATGTCCCTATGGATGATCTTAGGCAAACAGTCATGGTGAAGATACTCCACTGCCTGAGCTAACCCAACAGCAACATTGAACCTTGTATCCCAATCAAGCTTCCTTTTCTTCTTCCCATTGATGGGTCGCTCGTGCAGCCAGTCCCAAACGCTTCCGTTCTCCATGTAATCGTAAATTAACAGACTCGAGCCGTCTCCTCGGTTGATGCAGTATCCGAGCAGCTTCACGAGATGCCTGTGCTTGATCCTTCCAAGTGTCTTGACCTCTCGTACAAAGCTTTTATTAGATAAAAGATCATCTTTGCACAATATTTTCTTGACAGCAACGGTTTCGCCGGTGAGCAATTCAGCTCGATAGATCGTTCCAGAGCCCCCCGAGCCGATAATGAAATCATCGCTTAAATTGTTCGTCACCTCCATAATTTCCTCCCATTGAAAATCTCGATTTCCACCCGGGTTATGGAAAATTGGTCTTCTCTGTGCTTGGGACGAATTAGACGAACAAATGCAGTTGACTTCACTCCATCTTTTGAAAGTTTCTTGATTGTGTTTATACAGAAGGGTGACCGTAAGCACTAGAATCGCCATTCCCACCAATGTCGAAACAGCCGATATGGCGATGATTGCCCCTTCACTTAAACCCGACCCTCCCGTGGAAGCTTCGCCGCAATGGCGAAGAGGACCTCCACAAAGTCGAACGTTTCCTTCGAATACATTAGCCGGCCAATGAGAGAATTCCTTGTCCAATCTTCCCTCTAGCTTGTTGTAAGCAAGGTTAAGCTTGCTCAAGCTACTCATCTTACTAACATCCGGAGGGACTTCTCCGGTAAGCTCGTTGTGAGATAGATCAAGCGCTTCGAGTTTGGACAGCCGAGCAATAGAGAACGGAATCTCACCGGTCAGATTATTGTAACTAAGATCCAATATGCTCTGAAGATTCTGTAACTGCGAAATCTCAGCTGGGATTTCCCCATCTAAACCATTCCTCGACAGACGAAGCTCAAACAATTCGCTTACCTTACCGATACCAGAAGGAATCCGACCGAAAAACCGGTTATCTTCAAGGTCGAGGACGTTAAGCGACACGAGGTTACCGATTTCCATCGGCAATGTTCCATTCAAGAGATTCCCATTAAGAGATAGCACAATCAGGCTAGAACAATTGAAAAGCTCCAAAGGCAATGGACCAGTGAACCGATTGAGAGAGAGCTTAAGCTCACCCAATTCAGGCAATCCACCGAGCCACATTGGTATAGTTCCAGAGAAAAGATTATCATTAAGATCAAGATGGGTCAGTTTCTTACACGAAGAAAGCTCATCAGGAACAGACCCAGTAAGGGAATTCCCAGATAAATCCAGCAAAGACAGTTCATGAATGTTCCCCAATTCCGGCGGAACGTCGCCGGAAAACTGATTGTTTCCTAACCTCAGCCGCTCAAGGGAGGAGGAGTTTCCCAATTGGGGAGGAATTCCGCCGTCGAATTCATTGTTTGTAAGATCAAAAGAAAGAAGAAAACGGGAAGAACACAATGAAGCAATGCTACCATTCAATCTGTTCCTAGAAAGATTGATTCTCGTAAGATTTGATAAATTGATCAATGAATTTGGAAGATTACCTTCAAGAGAGTTGTTGTAAAGCATAAGCTGTTCCAAAGCTTCAAGGAATCCAAATGTTGAAGGAACCCCACCGGAGAGACGATTGTCCGCCAGGTCTAGAATCGTCAGTTTATGGCAGTTCCCCAAAGTCGCCGGAATTCTACCGTCGAGTTCGTTCTGCCGGAGATGAAGGAAATTCAGTTCTCTTAATCTTCCAATACTCACCGGAATCTCTCCATTGAAACGATTCCCGAAGAAATCAATCATCTGTAAGTTTGAACAATTCCCCAATTCGAAAGGGATTTTCCCAGATAGCTGATTGTCGTATAGATACAGAATTTCAAGTTCTCCGAGCATGCCGATCTCCCTTGGGAGATCGCCGTGAAGATTGTTGTGATACAGAGCCAGAGTCTTGACATTGCTGAGGTTTGCAATCGCCGGCGGAATTGGGCCGACTAAGCTGTTGTTATGAAGTAGAATATCAGTCAAGCCGCTTAGTTCATAAAACTCATCCGGAATCGATCCGTTTAGTCTATTGTTAGATAAATCGATATGCGTTAGTGATCGGCACTGAATCAACTCGGCCGGAATTTCGCCAGAGATTCGCATCTGAGATAGCATCAGATTCTCTAAACTAGAAGTATTAGAACACAACTTTCCCGGAATGACACCGGAAAGATGATTGTTCGACAGAACCAAGAACACCAAGCTCCCCATATTCCCCAACTCCTCTGGAATTCCCCCCGTGAGCTCGTTCATGGATATATCCAAAGTCTGGAGATTACCCAATTCAGCAAATGAAATTGGAATTAAACCCACGAGTTTATTTCCCATTAGATTCAAATAAACAAGCTGATTGAGCTCCCCCAGCTCCACCGGAATCTCGCCGGAGAGAGTATTGTTGGCGAGGTTCAAAATTTGGAGCTTCTGAAGACGACCTAGCTGCTTTGGTATCGATTCATTGAGATTGTTACCAGAAGCAGTGAAGACAACAAGGCTCGAACAGTTCCCGAGCTCCCCCGGAATCGGACCCTCGAGTTGATTTTGCTGCAGAACCAAATCCTCCATTCTGCCGAGCCGTCCAAGCTCTATAGGTATCAAACCGCTAAGACTACACGACGCCAAACCAAGAGTAACCAAATTTGCAAGATTCCCAAACGAAGCGGGAATGGAACCGGTAAGTTCGTTGTCACCGATTCGCATAATCCTTAGACTCGTCAGCGAGCCCAGCTCAGACGGAATCGACCCACCGAGTTTGTTAGAGAAAAGCAGCAAAGATTCCAACGAATTAAGCTTTGAGAGATTTGTTGGAATGGGACCCATTAATCCGTTGCTCGAAAGATCAAGGTGGAGCAGGTTCCGCAGCCTACCGACTGCCGGTGATATAGACCCACCGAGCGACGAGTCAGAAAGGTTCAACCCCACCACTTGAGCAGAGCCACCCACCGTGTCAGACCCACAAGAAACGCCTCTCCAACTGCAAAAATCCGGATTCCTCTCAGACCAATCCACCAAAACATTATCTGGGTCCGCCACAAATGACTTCTTTATCTCCAAAAGCACGTTTAAACTCGACCCATCATCACACAAAATGAACCCATATTGAACAGAGCAAACAACAAAACAGAGCACAAAAACAAACGGCAAAAACAGAGCACAATCAGCCATACTCTGTTCTTCAAGACCTTCCAAGAGATGATCCAAACTAATTACTTTCAAAAGAGTTGAACCTTGGGCGGTGCTTATGGAACGACGCGTGGTGAAGAACGGGAAGTGGCAAAGAACGGCGCTGCATGGAACAGAGGAGGCTCTGGTTTCTCGAACTCAGCTGATAATAATGACGGCAGCGCTGCCATAAATGACCAGCGGATTTCTACTGTGCCATTGATTCTTCATCATTTCACATGCTCAAACTCCAAGAGAAGATCAAAACAAGATAAGTACACCTCTGCTTTCATAATTCCATAATAATAAATAGAATGAGGCGAAGGTCAAAAAGCAGAGTCAGAAGGATGGTGGGTTTGCTTGTTTTAATGTGTTGGCTGAAAAATGGAGTGAAAACCAACTCTGTAGAGAAAGTGAGCTGTTGAAGCTCCAATTATGAACAGTATGAACCTGATTGGCTTAGAGTATGAACTTCAAAATCAGCAGCTTTCGAAGAAGTCAAAGGTTGTCCCACAAAATTTCATTACTTCCCCACGCAGTTCAGAAAACAATGAAAACAGAGAGGAGAATCTGCAATTATTAGGAGTTTTAAACACTTTTGTTGGCTTGATCCTACCAAACCTTCGTGTCTTGTTCTGTTTTTTGCCCTGTTGTTCATATTCCATGCTTTTACTCCATTGATATTATATATATATATGATCATCTTGGTACGTAAAAACCTGATATTTCTCTTTCGCTTACCTTTCTCTTTTGACCTTCTTCAATAACTCTTCAAAGACAAGTTTTTAGTGGCTCATATTATTGGTTATCTATTTTTCTTCAATTTTGTTTGTCGGTAGAATTCAAATCTTTAATGGTTCATGTCGTAAGTTATCGTGTTCTAAAGACAAGTTGAGTTTTATGCGAGTTATGTTCACTTAAGCCATGATTGCTATATGTCATAGTCATGTTTGTCCTATGCATGTTGTCCAGTGTTGCGGTCATCCTTGTCCATCACATGATGTGTGAGATCCCATATCGGTCAGAGAAGGGATATCGATTGGAGAGAGGAACGAGTGTCAGCGAGGACGCTGGATCCCAAAGGAGGTGGACTGTGAGATCTTATGGCGGTTGGAGGAAAAAACAGAATCATTCTTTATAAGAGTGTAGAAACCTCTCCCTCTTATAGAAGTGTTTTAAAAATTTTGAAGGAAACCCCAAATAGGACAATATTTGCTAACGGTGGACTTAGGGCGTTACATGTTGTCCATAGTTGCATGCCCGTTTCAAACCCATTTTACCTACTTTCATCTCATATAGGTTTTTACTCTTACATGATGGGTCAATACAGGGTGTATAATCAGTCATCAAAATCATGTCTACACGCACCAATGTTATAATGTCCCAAAATGTACTATAGAAGGATATGACTAGTTGTCACTTCATCATACTTGAAATATATGCTATCAAAGTCATTGTTGTTACCTAATCGCTTTTAACTTATAACATTACTTTCTTTCAAATTGTTTTCAACGTATTTCTTCGTTCACGTTTTCTAAAACATTTATCTCAAACGTGACTCGAGTCTCAAGCATACGCCCACGTTATCCACAAAGTCCAAATTTCTCACGACTGACTTGTTCCTTGGTTAGAACAAGGGTTACACAATCGTTGTCCAGCTGTCACGAGAGTGCAATTGTAACACGTGCCTAAAATTGAGTTATATATCTTGGAAACGTAGGATTGTATACCGTAAAAATAGTCGAGAGGCGTAAAAAAGCTCGATAAAAAATAATAATACTATTATAAATTTTTTTTAAGGTTAATTTGTGGCATCTTATATTAATGAATGACAGGTAAAGTTCCATGATAGGTAGCTTTTAACTATGGCCATTAAGGTTGTACAAACCCAGTTTGGAGCACTCCAAGGGACACTCAATGAAAGTGGAAAATTACTAAAAACTCCATGCAAAGCCACAGCCCATGAAGAATATATATTATTGTAGGTAAGGGTAGTTGTGAATTAATATATTTCTTGTCAAGTAAGAAAAAAAGTAATTATTGTTAATGACTTTTTTATTAGATCGTCCCTCGTTTTATTTGTTGGAACGTATTAGAATAGGTTGTGTCGTGGATAGCTCATGTCAGAGCATGGGTTACTGAAAGCTTTAAGATGAATGTTGTTGTATCGTGTCAGGAGGAAAACGAAGCTTAGTAAGTTTTCTGCTAGCCCACAACCAATTATAAATTAGATTTTTTTTTTTTTTTAATGTGGGTCTTATTTCTAATCGAGAAGGACTTTCATGTACACATCTTACCTCGTCCTTACGACTCAGATCACCAACATCTTAACTCAACCCTTATCGAAAATGCAGCTCATGTACCCTGATAAACCTGAAAATGGGTTGTGACATGGACTACTTGTAACTGAGCAGGGGCTACTAAAAATTTGAAGATGAATGTTGTTGTATCGTGTCACGAGGGAAACGAAACTTAACGAGCTAGCCACCAATTTTTTTTTATGTGGGTCGTCGAAAATGCAACTCGAATGTCTGAAAGTGTAACATGACGTAACGACCTCTAGCGGATGACTTTGAAGCTCTCCTCTTCCAATTTGAACACAAAATTCCATTAATGTTAATTTTTTAATGGCAATGTGAGACATTGTTCCTTGGTTTGTCTCCAAAATGGCTCAATCACGAGAAAGAAAGCAGCAAAGGGAATAAGAATATTATGTTCTTGTCTTTGTTCCTTGGAGAATATTTGCAGTATTCACATTTATTCATCTTAAAATAAAAAGGGTTCAATCACTTTTTTAATAATTAGTTCGATTACGTGGATAGAGATTTGAATTTTTTAGAAATATATATAATTTTGACGGCCGACATAATACCTATGTTTTGACATCGATACATATATTATAACTTATTTGACTATAATCTAATGGACATTTTCAAAAGTTTCAATAATACTCTTGAACTTACAAAAAATATATATATATATATATATTCAATTTTATTTTAAAAATACTTAAAAAGTGTGACACAATATCTACCTTGAAAAGTGTGAATAGATTTGAAAATATTATTATTCAAGAAAACAATACAAAATTAAATAATGATAAATAGAATTGAGATCTAATGTTCAATGTTGATTGATATTCACACCGTTCAAATAGAATACAAGCTACTAATTATGAATGTTTGATTAATCCACCACACCACCTAAATGGTGTGAAACAATAAATGAAAAGATACCTATAATAATAAGGCAAATATTTATTTGACTTATAATAAAATATCAAATATAATATATATGGTAAACTATAATTTATTACTAAATATCCTTAACACTCCACCGCAAGCTAAGCGTCGGATTTAAACGAACGTGAAGCTTGAATCTGAAAAATTCAAAGAGGTTGAGAAACACTTTTCATGAAGATGCTAACAACCCGGTTCTTGGCCATCAAAAATTGCAGAGGGATCGCCGCTCAGCGGCGATGCTGCATTGACTTCGGCGAGAATGTGTCTAACCCATGAAGAGGGATTGTCGCTTAGCGACGATGCTGCCTTGGCTCTGGTGAGAATATTTCTAACCCCAAGAAGTAGAAGGGGAAACCTAGAGCAAGGGACAAAGACAATGTTGAAGCCGAAGAGTCGCCACATTGGGCGAAGGAGCCAATTTTGGCGAGAAGGGCAGTCGGAAGAGTCGCCTCATCGAGCGAAGAAGCCAATTTTGGCAGGAAGGGCGGCGGCAACTTGGTTGGCGAATAGGCTAGTGCGGCACCCAGATTCCGAAGGTAAATCTTTGCAAAAGGTTGATAGATTTAGGTTAAGGTTTATGTGAAGGATGAAGGTTGATTGGGAAGAAAATGAGAGAGACTATATTGGCCAAGGGGAAAAACCGATTGGGTTGGAAAAGGTGAGGTTGTATGTACAGAGTATGACGAAAGGTGATTTGGAGGTCAATAGGGTGGAGCCGAAGAGTAATCAATCGGCTCCGACTATGGCAGCCATGAAGACTGCCCCTGCGGCGTCAAAACCAGCAGGGGTGGTGGAGAAGAAGATTAGAGGATTCAAAAGCCATTGAAAAGAAAGGATCGGGGTTGTTAAACCGAGAGGGCTCTGATACCATGTGAATGTTTGATTAATCCACCACACCACCTAAATGGTGTGAAAGTTATCTTATTTATAATCAAATGAATTACAAGGATATGAAAATAGTAATAAATGGAAATAACAATAAATGAAAAGATACCTATAATAATAAGGCAAATATTTATTTGCCTTATAATAAAATATCAAATATAATATATATGGTAAACTATAATTTATTACTAAATATCCTTAACACTAACTAATACCTACACATGAGTAAAATATAAAACTCTAAAATAAAATATACTACTAATTAAATCATAAAGAAAGAAAAAAAAAATATATATATATATATATATTTATATATTAATACATAAAATATATTTCATAGCTAATATATTTTTTAAATATTAACGAGATATATTCCTAACTAATTCAATTTCGCAATAAGTTGAGTAAATTCGGTAAATGGTTAAAACATATACCGTTAAAGATTTTAAAAGTTACATTGATATTTTTAATTTTTTTTAAAAAAAACTTCTAAAACACCTTTAAAAATTTTTAAAAATAATTAAAAAAATATATAATACTGAGGAGTTTAAAAATAATATTAAAAATTTTAAAGATAATTTATGAAGTGTCAGATTTTTTTTTTATTTTCTTTAATAAAGGTAATGAATATTAATGTAAAATTTAAAATTATATATATATTTTTTAAACATTTTATAAAACATTTTATAAGTTGGGTCAAAGTAATTTTGGAAATTTTTTTATAGATAAAATATAAAATTTATGATTTTTTTTATTAATTTAAGCAAATTTAAAATGGTAAATTAATTATGGATTTTCATATTTGAAGTTATAATAAAGCAAAGTCAAAATGGTAACGTGAATGAATTGTTTGTTTGAGCTATAAGAGGGAATTAAAGGTCAAATCAGGTGGCTAAATCAAATAAATTAATTAAGTTTAATTAAGTGATTTATAAAATTAAAAAATAAATAATAATAATAATAATAATAATAATAAAAAGATGCCTTGTCCAAACGAGTGTGCCAAAAGAAGTACATTAATTATAATTAATTTGCAGAAGCATTTAATCATCAAATCACTTTATATCTGTTAATTTTGTTATTAATTAATTATTTTAGGCTAAATTAATTTTTTTTAAAACTTATGTAATATTCTTAAATTTAAAA